CTAATTTTAAGCCCACATTCTACCTTTGGAATGAGTCCAGTTGTCRTATATGTTAGCTTTGTTATATTTTKCTAGATTTGATTACTAATATTTTATAGTATAGTATAGTAATATTGGAATTTTTGTATCAATTTTCATGACAATACAGACTTGCAATTTTATTTTCTTATGATGTCTTTGTAGAGTTTGAGTGCTATGGTTTTCTAGTCTCAGAAATAATCTTAAAAGTCACCTTTTTTCTATTTTTCTGAAGAGTATATAWAATTGGWACTGTTTTGATCTTGAATGTTGGTAGAATTCACTAACGAAGGTACATTCTTTTGTAGTTATTATACTATCAGATTTTTTTCTTAAGTTAATATATTAAGTTGTCCCATTTATCTATAGTTTWAATTTTTCTTCACATAAGCTTAATTATAATATCATTTTACTATCTCTTTATTGACTCCAAGATCTATAGTGGTGTCCTTCAAAAAATGCAGCTTATTTGTTCCTTCTCTCTCTCTCTATTTCCTTTTGGCAGTTTTACCAGAGGTTTATTGATTTAATTATTTATCCAAGAATGGAATTATATCTTTGCAGGGCCTTTCTATTATGTTTTTCATTTCATTAATTTTACTCCTGCTCTTTTTATTTTCTTCCTCTGCTTCCTTTATTGTGAAATTTTCTAACTTCGTGGGACATGTTTTATTAATTGATTTGAATCTTTCTTCTTGCCCCTTACATATTGTATCACACACTTGTGTATATATATATATATATAGCCATTATCTTTCAGTACAGTTGTTTTCTGATTTTCATGTTTTCTTCTTTGACAATGCTATTTAGAAACATATTTCCTAATTTCCAAACCCCTGGGATTTTTCTAGTTTTCTCTCTATTCCTCACTTTTAACATAATTGCATTGTGATCAGAAAAACTAGACTGTATGAATTCAATMTTGTTTGATGGCCTAGTGTATGGTCAACTTTTATAACTGCTTTACATGTGCTTGAAAAAAAAAGTGTCTACTCTGGGGTGGCAGGGTGGTGCTCCACCTGTGTTCCTAGTGTCAGAACTGTGCACACCCGTCTTAATTTTGGTCTGCTTTAATTAATGGAATTAAGTGTGATAAAATTCCCCATAGTCTGACAATGTTTTAAAGAATAGATTTGGATACCATGTTTTTAAATGCCCAGAAACTTAGAATTACTATTTCATCTTAATAAACTAAACCATTTATCATAATGAATGATCCTTATTTTTCTCTACTGCTTTTTGCCTTTAAATTTATTCATTCTTTGTCATTATCACCTCTTAGTTACTGTTTCCATAGACTATCTTGATCCAGTCTATTATTTTTAAGCTTTCTTTATCCTTATACTTTAGGCATGTCTTTTATGAATAATAGATAGTTGTTGTTTGTTTTTAATCTAGTCTGATGATCATTGATTATTAACTGGACCATGAAATCTCTTTGCATTTGTTATAATTACTGATATACTTGGATAAAACCAATCTTCTTATATACTTCCTATTGGTCTCAATTGTTCTGTGTCTTCTTTCTTTCCTTGCCTTTTTTTTTTTTTTTTGGATTCATTGATTTCACTTCAGGAGTCTCCAAGCAGACAGAAACCTATGAGACTAGATGATCCAAGGCCTCATCCCTTGAACATTCTATAAGAATGAAATTGCACTTTTATTTTTATTTTTTTAATTTATACATGACAGCAGAGTACATTACAATTCTTATTACACTAATAGAGCACAATTTTTCATATCTCTGGTTGTATACAAAGTATACTTACACCAATTTGTGTCTTTATACATGTAATTTGGATAATAATGTCCATCACATTCCACCATCATTTCTAACCCCATACTCCCTCCCTTCCCCTCTCACTTTTAAAGTGTTAACTGAACCAGCCCTGTTGTGGATAATGAATTCTTAAAATGCGATTACAGAGAAATGAGGYATAGGATTTTCATGTTTCCAAAAACAAAAAGGATGGCCCCCTAAAGAGTTAGGGCCAACTCTTTACAATCAAATGCAATTGAAAAGTCATAGGGAACACTGGTAGCTCTCCATATAAGATGAGGTATATTCAAATCATGATGAAAACAAAATAAAACTGTGGCTGCCAGCAGGTMTCTAACTTATTTAAGAGGATTTTAGAAGATCAAATCACTTCGTTTCCTATTAAAATGCTTTAGTTTTCCTATGTCCACAGCAGACTCAGGCATTTGTGATTGATGTAAAAGCAGGAGGCAAGGTCATTTCTGTATGTGTGTATACAGAGTTGTCTGAATGAAATTAGGAAGCAAGCTTAAGCTGCATATTGGTCTGGTTTAAGGGGGACACTTTTTTCTCATGATTAATCACAAATAAAATTCATTAAAATTTATTATCATTTTCTTTGGGAAAAGGAATGGGAGATATGGCTTGATGAAATCCAAGTTCAATTAAATTATGCTTCACATATGCCCTGAAAGAAGAGAAGCTTTTACCATTCATATTTAATTTAGTTCAGTAAAGTGGAGAGACTTATTTTCTATAGTGTGGCTGAGTATATTAAGCACATCTACTCTTGTTATCCTAAATTTCCACCTGTCCCTGAAGCTATGAGATAATGTAACCCTCTTTGACATCTTAGCGTGGGAAGTAAGCACCTTTATTTATATACCATCCACTAGCTTCTTTGGTCCCACTTGGCCATCAAAGGCTATAAAAAGTGACACCATCACCCTAAACTTCTAATTTTCTCTAAGAGCTCAAACTATTTCCTGGGAAATGATGTTTCTCTGAGTTCCTAGTGATAGATAGGGAAATTACACCTCTAAAGGGCAAATGACTAAGCTTTGAGTTACTGAGTCATTGGTTTCTTKGGGAGAGAATCCCAGAAGCTCCCTCTCCAGATGGACTTTACGCCATTGCAATATCAGAGCCTGGATCTGTAAGGGCCCCCAAGATCCTCTGCTCCAGCCTTATTTTGGTCCCATCTTACAGATGAGACAATTGATGCCCAGGGGCATGAAATAATTCTCCCAAGGTCATGAGACTAATGAGTACTATTGTTGCCATAATGTTTAAATCAGGTTTTCCCAAGCCAAGCAAATTAATATAARGCAAGTTTCATTTTAATGGCATCTCATCCTGCAGCAATCTGTCCCATTATCTTACTGATCTCCAGTCTTCTCAGGGCATGAGAAACAGAGCATCACAACAGCTATAAATCGCATTCAGAGTTCATAAGATCACAAAGCCCCTCACTGCACTCTCTCTTCAACTTATGAATCTTCTGATGGATGAGGTAGGCATGTGACGTCTTTTGCAGACCAGAACTTGACAGAGATTGAAAGCATCTGTCAAGAGAACCTGGGCCTCCTGTTTTGCTGTCTAGGACACCTGCCAGATTCTGCTCTGTTAATTGGCTTCTGTGCAGGCAGCTATTTTAGCAACAATTCTGTGGGTCTTCTGTGGCACATCTTGATTTAAAAGGAAATGTTGAAAAGCACTTCTCAACCACTCAAAGCATCCAGGGTTGCTCAAGTTTAGCTGATTGGACAGAGAAGAAAGCAGTCTTCAAAACTGGTGTGTAGACATAAAACTAGATTATTCAGCTTCCTCATGTTCAGAGAATAATTTTCAGAGAGATGGTGTGTCTGATTTCTGTCTAAAAAGATACTTTCCCTAAGGTCAGATGGAATTGAAATGAGGATTTATGGAAAAAAAATGCCACCATGACCTTAAACATGCAGCCTTTGAGTTGATACCATAATGAGGAATGGAGTGCTATTAAAATATACTGAACATTTTAATGATTCCACTAGCAGTCAGCCAAAAAAAAAAAAAAAAAAGATTTCAACTCTGGAAGAGAGGATTTTGCCAAGGAGATTTTAATGTCAAGAATGTATGTGAAGCTAAAAATAAGGTTCTCATGCGCATCCCAGAGCCGTGGGTGGGGATGTATACATAATCAAATTTAATTATTCCATTTCCACTTATAGAAAAATCTAAAGGAAAAAAATTAACTTTAAAACATTTAGTCATATTTCACTTGGATTATGCTTATAAATACCAAACCCCAGACCTGTCAAAATAAACCCCACCAGTGCTTCTTGGCAGAGGTGTTAGATAGACACAGACTACAGCATGCAAAACTGGTAAAGAGCTTACAGAATCGTCATGCCTGGAAAAAACACAGGAACTCAGCTCCTATCTGAAGAGAGGATCCGAGGGCTACAAGGGGTAGAAGTGACCCTGAGTGTGAGCAATGGAATTCAGAGTGACCCAAACACTAGATACAGAGGGAAGAGCCTTCAGAGATACTCAAAGATCCCTGAATTCCAGGTCTCAGCTCTATGGGGCTGGAGGTGAAGGACCCATGGTTTCCTATCACAATATTTTTCCCATCAGAGAAAATACCCTTACACTTGATCTTGTTAAGGAGGGTTAGTAGTTTTTTTCGTTCCATGAATTGCTTGTTGATACAACAGAAGTGTGAGTTTAGCTGCTGCCAATGAGGACATGCAAAGCACCAGTGTCTGAAAGTAAATTTGTTGGCATTTCAGGGGCAAACTTCCTTTTGGCTACAACCACCAAACCTCCAATCCAAAACTGGGGGATAAAAAGTCTAGTCTTTGTTAAGTCTTTTATTTACTTTTAAAATTATAATTAGAAGATTTATGGATAACTTTGCTGTTTTCCTTTTGTCCCTTCTGCTTGTCTGTCTCCTTGCTCACCCAAACCAGGACCTTGGGCTAGTACCGTCTCTGTCCATTGGGTTTGGGTATGGCCAAAGGAAGGAGGGCTGGAAATCACAAGAGAGGAAGAGAAAAGTGTCTTTCCTGGTTCCCGTGGATAGTTGGTGAGTTGGTTTTGGCTAATACTTGCCATTGCAGATGACACACCCTCATTAGAACATGTATCTTGCACATTCCCAAGTGATGAGAGGAGCAGGGTGGAGAAATCGGCTCAGGCTCCTTGCACATACACAAGCTGGTTGTGGGGACCTAGAAGAGCTCATGAGACTCAGCCTACAACTGCAATTGTCCAAGGGTCTAGATGAATTCTGGCTTGGACAGAATCTGCATCTCATGTCTTACCGTTATTTCTCGGCATGTCATTCTAGAGCCTTGTGATCTTTGCTCCCTAGAGAAAGTCAGAATAAAGCAGTAAGGGAAAATAATTTGTCCTGATGTAAAGGAAAGTAGAGATACTAAGAGATAATTGTTAATGAAGAATTATTAAAGATCAGACAACGGATAGACACTTGACAGGTAATATCCTGACCTTCCCTCTCCACCACTTGCAGACCTTTGGTCAGCACCAAACCCCAGTGGACAGAAACACTATTGGCCAAGAAGACACCACTATTTGCCCGATTTTACACAGGAGAAAACTAAAGTTTTTAGAAGTTAAAAAACTTAGATCACACATAGCTATGGGTAAACAATGGCAGGATTTAAACTTCTGTCAGTGGTATTAAGTCCAAACCTTAAACCATTCCACTATTCTATTTCCTATTAATTTCTCTACCTTCTTCCTAGCCTGTGCAGGAAAACAGGTGAAACCCAACAGAATGACAATAGTTATGGAAGGGATTTAGTTTTAGCTCTGCTACTAGTTATTCATATAACCTCATTTCATCTGTGAGCCTTACTTTGTTTAGCTATAAAATAGTAAAGATGTTCCATTTCCTGTTACCATGATAGAATTATATTGAAGCAATTCATATAGAGAAACTTTAAACAAAATAAAGACCTTCTAAATGTGTCATGATTAAGGCCGTTATTATAGGAAGTGGTATAGAAGAAAGAGCACTGACTGTAGCCCAATCTGGGTTAAATTCTGTCACACTAGTGGAAATTTTCTGATCTCTCATGTCTCATCTATAAAACAGTGAGACTGTCACCTGCCTTGGGATGAATAAAACCCACGCTGGAGTCAGAATGTGGTGGCCATCTGTGTGTCTGACCCAGGTAAGAGTACCACTTACCTGCAGGGATAGCAGATGGAGCCGCTGAAAATACAGTAGATGAGGGGGTTGATGGCACTATTCAGTGCTGGCAGGTTCTGAATGATCACGGAGGCATAAAAACGCTCCTTGGTGTCTGGAAGGAGGTTGAAATTGTCCAAAATGTCAAAGAGGAAGTATGGGCTCCAACAGCAGATGAAAGCTGGGGAGAAGTGAACCATTAGGCACCACAGAGGCTACAGCTGAGGGGTCTCTTTTTAGTTGGCCCTCATGGGAGTTTCAACTGGGAGGATTYGGGCATCTGGAATCTTTCAGAGATGTTTTAGGGCTGTGTATGCAGTTTAGAAAAGTTGTTTGCGTTGATGTTGATGACATGAAAATACCAGAAAACATCCAACTAATACCCCTGTCCAAACAGATAGGTGTGTGGAAGACCCTGATTCTGCTTGGCTCCAAATCCTCAAAGAAAATGAGTGAGATGTGGGAATCCAGAGTGTGAGGGTTAATTTTATGTGTCAACTTGACTGGGCCCCTGGCTGCCCAGATATTTGGCTAAACRTTATTCTGGATGCATCTCTGAGGCTGTTTTCAGATGAAATTCACACTTGAATCAGTGGACTAAGAAAAGCAGAGTGCCCTCCTTAGGTTGGGTGGGCTTCATCCAATCTCTTGAGGGCTTGAATAGAAAAATACAGCTGAGTGACAAACGATTCACTCTCTCTGCTTGACTGTCTTTGAGCTAGGACATTGGTCTTCTACTTCATGCTTGGAGTCACACTGGAACTTAAATAATTAATTCTTTTGTTGTCAGACTTTTGAACTCAGACTTGGATTAGAACTTAGACCATTGTCTCCTGATTCTCTAGCTTATCAACTGCTGATCTTCAGACTTCTTAGCCTCCATAATCATATATAAAAAATAATCAAATATATATAAAATAAAGCAAAATCAATCAATCAATCTATCTATCTATCTATCTATCTCTTCATATTTCCCTAGAGAGCATAGACTAATACAGAGCAACATACTCTGGGGTTTCCTGAACACTCACGTGTGCTGCCCTACTGTCTGGGTACAGCTTTGCCACTCTTCTCTCCCAAACAACTTTCCCACCCACAAGATTTTTCTAAGAGTAGGAGCAAATGGACTTCTTCAGCCAGCTGGATGCTGGGAAATTTTTCTTCCATAATTGTTCAAGAGGGATTCTGTAACTTGCTTGGGAGTTTTGAAATAAGGAATTAGTTCATGATGATGGCAGTGTATTAAATGGGGCCCATTCAAACAAAAACAGCAATGAGAATTCTGGACCCTGGGTAGTTAACCCCAACATTGGCTCAGAAAAGTGGTTCTGGGATATCAAGGGTAAAACTGCATTGTGTGTGTGTGTGTGTGTGTGTGTGTGTGTGT